AATGTGCTGCTGGCAGTGGTAGTGGAGTCAGGTACATTAGGGTCATTTAAGCGACCCTTTGATAGGCACATGGAAGATAGTAAAGTGTCGGGTATGCAGGGTCATTTGATTTTTGAGTAAGATAATAGGTCGGCACAACATCATGGGCTGAAGGGCCTGTACTGTGCTGTACTGTTCTATGTTCTACGTTCTATGTTCTAAAATGTTGTGTAAACGAAGCAAGGATGATGTGTGGAAAAAACCTTTTCACACAGCAAGTAGAGTATGGAATGCGCTGCCTGAAAATGTGGTGGAGGCAGGTTCAATTGAGGCATTAAAGAGCGCATTGGATGCTTTGATTTCATAGTAATAGTATAAAGAAATATTGAGAAAAGACAGGAGATTTATTCTCGATAATAGAGCCAGTGCAAGCACGTTGAGCAAAGTTTTGTGATTCTCTCAATTGCTTCTAAAGTAAGTGCATTCCTTTTTAAGTCAGGCAGTCAAAATTGCAAACATGGTAATATGTGCAGCAGGTTGCAACTAATCTATGAATTCGAAGAGTCTTGCAGTACCATTAGAATCCCTCAGTTTTAAACTTGTAGCATGGTAAGTTTTATGGACAAGGCCTGTAAACTTTAGCAGAAGTGGTTTGAGCCGTAAGTCACCTTTGATGAAAAGGTTCCAATCTTTTGTGTTTTTGTTCTCTGTGTCTTACACAGAGGTTGCTTGAGTTACTGAGTGGAAATTCCAGTCGCAAATTTCAGTTGGAAGCAAGGAGTGTGACCCTTAGTGTCTTGGCACATAGTTAAGGCATTAGCACTTGGCTAAGATACCAGCAGAATGTCAACATCTCTCAAACATTACCACAGTACCTAAAAATATTAATATTGTAATGATAACATGCAGTTGTAGAGAGTGGAAGATGCAAGATGGCTCTGTTTTCACTGAGCCTCAGGCTGCTTCGCTAAACCGGCCTTCAAATAATCCATCATTGTAACTTTGAAATTTAGTAAATGTAAGAAGCAGAGTTGACTTATCAAAGATTTTTCAAGTCCTGATTTCTGTGTTGTTGGGCGAGTCTGATACAAAAATATTGCTCGTTAATTTCAAAGCCGTGTTTTTCCATAGAAACTGGAGGGAGGAAATCCAAAAATACCATCCAGAGAAGCACAGAGACTGGCATGGCAGTGGAAATGCGGCGTATGACTCGACAAGCCAGCCGGGAATCTACCGATGGCAGCATGAACAGCTACAGTTCTGAGGGAAAGTAAGTATGCCACTGTGCTGTCTGGTGTGGATATGCCCTATGATAGGCAAGCATCAATTTGTCAGATTCCAGGTTAAAGACTATGTTTGTCACAAAAATTTGCAGTCTCCAGTTATTCCAGGGCAAAGATTTAGCAAAATGAGGAGAAAAACCTGGGAACCACAGGCTGGTCAGCCCAATGTCAGGGCAAACCTTTAAAGACAATAACATGAGATAAAATTAATTGATACTTGGAAAAATTTAGGATGACAAAATGGATGTCAGTGTAGATTTAATTTAAAAAAAACAAGTTGTATTGACTAATTTGTTGCAATTCTCGATGGTGTTCAGCAAAGAAGTAGTGGTGACATGCTAGTGAGTATGGAAATAGAAAAATAGGACAGATAAATGCATGGCTCAAGACTTGGTGCATGAATGAAGGTTTTAGATTCCTGTATCACTGGGAGCATTTTTAGACCAGGTGAGACATGTACAAATGAGACCGTCTGCACCTGAACCACATTGGGACCAACATCCTTGCAGGTAGGTTTGCTAGTGCTGTTGGGAGGAATTTAAACTAGTCTGGCAGGAGGAGGGAACACAAATATTGGTAAGACAGAGACACCTCAAGCTGTAGCAAAGGAAGCAAGTCAGAATGAGTTCAGCTATATTGGGTGTCAAGACAGTAAGACAAGGCTGGACGGCCTTTAATGCTACGAATGTAACAGTTAATACTGATGAGTTAATGTTGTGGTTTAACAAAAGGAAGTGTAGTGTTGTTGCTATCACAGTAACATGGTTGAGGTAGTGTTGGTGTGGCAACTTCTCATTCCAGGCTATAGGATGTTTCGGCAAGACAGAAGAGGGTGTTAAAAAGGGTAGTGGTGTAGCACTATTAATTAAGGAGTTAATTACTGGAATAAAGAGAGATGATATCTTGGAACAGTCCTCAAACAAGGCTTTGTGGGTAGAACTTAGGAATGTTAAGAAGGCAGTCACTTCACTGAGAGTGTATTATACGCCTCCAAAGAGTCAGTAGGAAATAGAGGAGCAAATACGTAGACAGTTCACAGAGGTGTGTCAGAGTAATAATCAGGTAATTACACTAAAGGATTTCAACTTGCTCAACATAAATTGCAATAGTCATAGTGTTAAGGATTTAGCGGACACGGACTTCTTGAAATGTATCCAGGGGAGTTTTTTGTATAAGTGCGTAAAAGGTCTAATGAGATGCTGTAGTGCTGGATCTGGAACATTTTAGTGATAGTACAAGCCCAATGTGTGTTCTTTGGGGGAAGTTTAGGCAATAAGTTCAGAGAACTCTGGATGTCCAGGACAATTCAGGATTGAATGAGGAAGAAGAGAAGGGCTTTCAGCAAGTCCAAAGGGAGCAGTTCAGTTGCTGCCCTTGAGGAGTATAGGAAGTGCAAGAGAGAACTTAAGAAAGCAATTTGAAAAACAAAATTGTAGATGAAAAAGGACTTGCAAACAGGATTAGGGAGAATCCCAAGATATTTTATAAATACATTAAAGGGAGAGGTTGACCAGCGAAAAAGTAGGGCCCATTATGGACCATGGTGACAATCTGTGTGTGAATCCACAAGATAAGGGAAGGGTGTTGAATTAATATTTCTTTTTGGTCTTCACTCTGGAAAAGGAGAATGTAGGTACTAAATTCAGGAAATGGGGCTGAGGGGAACTTGCACAGTTTTACATAGGAAATTGGAGGTTCTGTCAGGCTTAAAAATGGGCAAATCCCCTAGCCCAGATGAATTGCATCCCAGGCTACTGTGGGAGGCAAGGAAATCGCAAGGCCTCCGGCACAAATTTTTAATTCCTCTCTGGACACCAGGACTGGAGGATAGCTGATGTGGTTCCACTTTTCAAGAATGTGATAGAGATGAACCAGGAAATTACACGCATGAGTCTCACGTCAGTGGTAGGGAAACTAAAGGAGAAAATTTTGAAGGAGAGAATCAATAGCCACTTAGAAAGGCATGGGTTAATTAAGGATAGTCAGCATTGCTTTGTCAGCGAGAGATCAAGCCTGACAAATTTGTTAGAATTTTTCAAAAATGTGATTATGTATATGGATGAGGGAAGTTCAGTTGATGTAGTCTATATGGGTTTTAACAAAGCTTTTGAAATGTCCCACATGGGAGACTTATTGAGAAGATTAAAACACATGGAATTGAAGGAAATTTGGCAAGATGGATCAAAAACTAGCTTAGTAATTGGGCACAAAGGGTAGTAGTAAAAGGCTGTTCAAGTGACCAGAGGCCAGTGTCCGGTGTTTTACCACGAGAATCAGTACTGGGATCCGTATTGTTTGTTAAATACATAAATGATATAGATGAAAATGTGTGGCGAATGTTAAGCAAGTTTGCAGATGACCACAAGATTGGTAGGATGGTTAATAGTGAAGAAGACGTTTGTAGGTTTCAGGAAGATATTGATAGTTTGGTCAGATGGGCTGAGCAGTGACAGATGGCATTTAACCCTGATAAGTGTGAGGTGATGCATTTTGGGAGAAACAACAAGATGAGGGAGTATTTAATGAATGGCAGGAGACTAAGTAGCTTAGTGGAACAGAGGGATCTTGGGGTAATTATTCACAGATTCCTGAAATCTGCAGAGCTGGTGAATATGATAGTTAAGAAGGCATATGGGACACTTGCTTTCATCAGTTGTCGTATAGAGTATAAGAGCAAGGAGGTAATGTTGGAGTTGTACTGAGCATTGGTTAGGCCACAGTTGGAATACTGTGAGCATTTCTGGTCACCTCACAACAGGACAGCTGTGATACCATTGGAGAGGGTACAGTGGAGATTCCCCAGGATGTTGCCTGGGATGCAGAAATTGACCTTTACGGAGAGACTAGATCGGCTTAGATTGTTTTCTTTAGAGCAGGAAAGACTGGGAGAGGGGGACCTGATTGAGGTGTATTAAATTATGAAGGGTATGAACAGGGTGGATAGAGAACACAAGGAGGCATAATTTTAGGGTGAGGGGCAGGAGATACAAAGGGCATTTGAGAAAAGGTTTTTCATTCAGAAAGTGGTGGGAATCTGGAATGTACTGCCCGGGAATGTAGTGGATGCCAGAAAACTGACAATCTGGAAAAACAAATTGTATGAGCACTTAAAGTATCATTACGTTCAAGGATATGGGACAAGTGCAGGACATTGGGATTAGAGTGCCTTTAGTGGTAGTTATGTCGGTGCAGACTTGCTGTATGACTCTGACATGAGTAAAAACTCTTTTACATGCAGCATTGGCTCAACATTTGCAAAGATTACACTGACAATACGTGGATAGAAAATGTTTAGAAGCATATGGGCCAAGTGCAGGGAAATGGGATTAGCGTGGATATACATTTTGATCGACATGGACCTGTTTGGGCCCAAGGGCTTATCTCTGTGCTGTAGGACTCAATGACAACTAATTTAAGATTGTGAATTTGGATTGCAGTTTGGCACACTGGAAGCTGCATAATATTAATACACTGGGTCCTGTTCTTTGCAGACAGAATGAATGCACACACGCATAGACACAGATAGACCATACTCTAGTTCATTTCTCAGAGCAATGCCTTGACCAGTCATTCAATTTGCCTGTTTCAAACAAAATTTAGTAGTTAACTGTTGGTCATCATCTAATTGGTGCATTCTCGATGGCAATGCCTCTATGAATCAGAATCCTTTTGTTAACCAATCAGGACCAACTTCCCATATAAGATAAAAATAGTTTCCCCTTTACTTTGGTATTTCTTGCAAATTGTCCTGATGAATGCAAGGCAAAAGCTTCAACAGCTTTTTTCAACAGATCTTTTCTCAGCGATGCTAAATGAAAAATAAATCTATTCCGATGAAAGGTCATTGACCTAACATGGTACCTGTTTCTCTTTAAAGATATTGCCTGACCTGCCCAGTATTTCCAGCATCTGGTATATTTAACTTCTGTAAAAACCTGTTTCAATCTTGAAAATGACATTTGGCATAGTATGGTCTTATAAACAATTGTTTCTAAAATCTATTATTACTTTAGGCGAAAACCTATTTCCAAATTTCACTCATTAGTTCTTTCTACCCTAAGTGAAATCTTGTTTGCGTTTAACTATCCCTAATGAATCATTGTAAATGCTCTCAAACCCCATTCTCCTCTCCGTTGTACAGGCAATCACACCAAGTCAGCTTCCCAATGGGAGGTTGCTGATGCCCATTAGAAATAGCATTCCAACTAGTGAATAATAGCCAGAATAAAGCAGTCAACTAGGAGTTATCACCAATACAATTAGAAGCCATTCAAAGAGTGATGAACAGTAGAAATGTCAGAAAGCCACAATCAAAATTGAGCCTATTCAAGGACACGTAGTAGCTGTTTTTACAAAGTTAAAAGTCAACCACATTGGAGTAAATCTGGAATTATAGGCCAAACCAACAAAGGGTGACAGTTTTCCTTCCCTAAAGGACATTAGTAAATCAGGTTATTTTTCAAAACGAAAGTTGACAATGTTCACATGGATCGACATTGGGCTTGTTTTTTATTCCAGATTTTTGTTGAATTCAAACTTTACCCTGTGCCATGGTGGGATTTGAATCCATTCCTCCACACCATTAACTAGGATGCTGCTGGATTACTAATCCAGTAACGTTACCACAATGCAACTCTTCCCCTAGTTGAGTATTATTCTCTCCTTTCCTCCTTTCTATTTCTAGTGGTTATCTCTTCATAGTTCACTCCCTTTTGTGGTTGGTATCTCAAAGTGTTTCCAAATTGTACTAACTTTCCCAATTGACTCCAATTCATATGTTCTTTCAGTTCCTATTTGGCTCTCATTTTCACTGGTTATTGTGTCATAGATATTTTTTATTTCCTGATAATTTAACTGAATAATGCATTAGAAGACAAGGTGAGCCTTGGGGAAATAAAGGAAATCTAAAGGTATTATATCTCAATATGTGAAGTATTCAGAACAAATTTGATACGTTAATAGCACAGACAAATTAATTGTTATGTTC